CTCTCTCTCTCTCTCTCTCTCTCTCTTTCTCTCGTAATTAAAATTATCAAAAAAAAAGTATTTTGACACAAAAAATACATAATTAGCAAGGACACCAATTATAGTTATCTAAGACAGTTAATATAATAATTGTAGCAAACTATGTGAAAATAACAATTATATGTCACTTACACACCAGTAATGATTACAATTAATGGTAATAAACTAAATAAAACTTAAAAAGTACCTTTGTTACAATGTACGCCGGGTGCATTCCCAATGGCAATGATGGTGATAAGTATAGTCCACGTATAATGCATATTTATAAATTTAAAAGCACCGGTAGTTGACTTTTAATTAAATGAAACAAGCACACAAATGCATGCCCATACATAGCACACAAACCAAATGTCTTCGCAGCAAATATGTTATGAAAACGAAAAAAATTTTTATTTATCATTTTGTGAATAACAAGTGGAGCAGTAATTCAATACACTATTCCCATAACATCAGATGATTAACAGATGATATAAATATTAGATATTAAATGCATTAAAAACAAAACTGATTTTTCCTATTACTTTCATAAGATATATTAAATTTCAGTAATAATCTTGATTTAATAGCTCATGTCATGTGAATATAGAAAATGAAAAGTTATATGTGATTTTTAATTTTGATTTTTGTTTTAAGTTAATTAATAACTTAAATAGACTTTGATATCTAATAATTTTTATTAACGATACTTACATCGAAAAGCGTTTAAATAATATTTGCATTTAATTTGATATCATTTTTGTAGTTAAGGCCAAAATTTGTCAGAAGGGGTAACCAGTTTTATATGGTCTTGACTACTATCCCTTTTTACATAATAATTAAAATATATAAACTTTATGAAAACGAAAACAAATTTTATTTATCATTAGTGGAGCAGTAATTCAATACACTATTCCCATAACATTAGATGATTAACAGATGATATAAATATTAGATATTAAATGCATTAAAAACAAAACTGATTTTTCCTATTACTTTCATAAGATGTATTAAATTTCAGTAATAATTTTGATTTATAAATAATAGCTCATGTCATGTGAATATAGAAAATGAAAAGTTATATGTGATTTTTAATTTTGATTTTTGCTTTTAAGTTAATTAATAACTTAAATAGACTTTGATATCTAATAATTTTTATTAACGATACTTACGTCGAATAGCGTTTAAATAATATTTGCATTTAATTTGATATCATTTTTGTAGTTAAGGCCAAAATTTGTCAGAAGGGGTAACCAGTTTTATATGGTCTTGACTACTATCCCTTTTTACATAATAATTAAAATATATTTTATAAGTGATAGTAATAGTAAAATTTAATACAGTAGTAGTTATTGCAGTACTGATTATATCGTCATAAATATTAATTAATTAATTTGCTTTTTTGCGCCAATTATATTAAACTTAATATTTATAAATTTTNTTAAAATATATTTTATAAGTGATAGTAATAGTAAAATTTAATACAGTAGTAGTTATTGCAGTACTGATTATATCGTCATAAATATTAATTAATTAATTTGCTTTTTTGCGCCAATTATATTAAACTTAATATTTATAAATTTTATTTTCTTAATAATTATCTATATATCATATAAATTATACTCTATGATATAGGTTATCAATCATTTACACTAATTATAGGCATTTACTAACACTAGAGTCAATAATTTGTTGTTTGATATCTTAATTAAGACTTATGTAAATACCTGTCAGTCACTGAAAAATTAATTAAATTTTAATTTTGTTTTTTAGTGTGCAATATTTAGTTTTTGATATTAATTATTGCTTATTATCTATTAATTGGTGTTTAATATATAGCGACCGCTGATTATATATACGATAATGTGATGTATGAGACGGTGAACGGCACTAACGCCACAATTAATTGGTCGGAACCGCTTGAATCTAACGGTGCCGTCATTTCATACGATATCCAATATTTTAAATCCACAGAATTTACAGATGTGAGACTTTTGACACAAATTTGATTAAATAAATGATATTTATATTGTTTTTTACATCATTTTCTGAACTGTTATTTTGGGGGAACGGTATTAGAAAGCGAAAGCGGAATACGGCGACAAAATATGCCTGAATCAGTGGCAGTATTTGCTAAATAGAAACAGTTTTACGATGACTGGTCTGGACCCGGGCACCAACTACTCGTATAGAGTGCGGGCTAACTCTATACACGGTACGGGGAACTGGACTACAATTCACACATTCACTGTACCCGGAGGTTTGTGTCGCCACACATAGTTATCGCACTCATGAGTAACATTTTTGTAATTGAATTTTGCTTTTGTTTGACCGCATGTTTTGCAAATCGTATCAATAATAATGTAATAATAATAATGCTTTGTATCCGCCGCACAAAAACTCATATATATTTGTGGGCCGTAAACAGTATTAACCGACTTTAATCCCACCGATTCAGACACCAACATAATTGTCTACATCACAGTCGGCATGTCTGTCGTGTTGATCACATTCGTACTGTTGGCCACCCTTTGCTACATACGGGCCCCGCGAAAGACCAACTCTCAGTTGGACATCATATCCGTGAATCCAGAATACGAAAAGTTTATCGGTTTGTCTCACAAATTATTAAATTTTTTTTAAAACTAAAATTAAGACAATCTTAATGAAAAATTGTATGTATTTTTGGCAATCAGTTGATCCGGAATGGGAGGTGCGATCGCAAGACTTGAAAAAGTTTCACGTGTTAGGCGACGGTGCGTTCGGACGGGTATATTATGGGGAGCTGCGGAAGAATAATAAGACAATCGGATGTGCGGTGAAGACATTGAATCAAAACAAAGGTGTCCAACACAGGGACAACTTCCTCAAAGAGGCCAATATAATGAAGTATTGATTGCATTGATTTGTAGTTTTGATCACAAGTTTTACTAATGACTGCAAATGAACAGATCGTTTGTCGACTGTCACCATATCGTGAAACTCATTGGTATCGTATCGATCGAGAACCCGGTGCTCGTACTCATGGAATATATGGTGAACGGAGATCTCAAGAATTATTTGCGACTCAATCGACCCGATAGTGATGTAAATTGTTGTCGAAAATTGATTTAATATTTGTTTTAATTTTGTTATATTTACCGGTAATTGCTTTTAGGAGAACCCGAACCCCCGGGTGCCCACTTGGAATCGGATCTTTCAAATGGCAATAGAGATATCGGACGGAATGGCATACCTGGCTGCCCGGAAGTTTGTGCACCGGGACCTCGCCGCCAGGAACTGTATGGTGGCCGAGGACTTGACCGTCAAAATTGGTGACTTTGGTATGACTCGCGATATCTATGACAACGACTATTATAGGTATGAATCGGTTTATAAGTCAGTTACAAGTGTTTAGCAATTATTGTATTGAATTAATAATATAACGACTCTTTCGTTGTTTAATAGGAAAAGAGATTGCGGTTTAATACCTGTCCGTTGGATGTCTCCCGAGTCCCTAAAGGACGGAATGTTCACAACCTATTCGGACATATGGGCCTACGGTGTGGTGTTGTATGAAATGGTGACTCTGGGGGCTCAACCATACCAGGGCTGCAGCAATGAAACGGTTTTACAGAATGTAATTAAAGGCTATCGTTTGCCGGAACCGGAAAATTGTCCCAAAAAGCTGTGAGTATTCATATAATATCCATACAATAGTACAGTATATGATATATCTTATGTATTTTTCTATGAATTCATGTATGGATTCTGCATTCCTATGAATTCTTGTGTCAATTTGTATGGATTTTGGGAAACAGTTGGAAAATAATGCAATTTTGTTGGCGTAAACATCCAAAAGCCAGGCCATCGTTCAATGAAATCACTGAATTCCTGTTGCCGACGGCCAACCAGTCGTTCCGCGAAGTCTGTTATTATCTGAATAACAGCCGCAAGTCAGTCATCAGCACCAGAACCGCCAGCAGAATGAAGAAGTCGTGGTACGCGTGGTTACCCACCAATCGGCTCATACTGAGCGACCTGAAGCTGACCCCCGACTTCGTGGATGACCCGACACAGTACTGTCCGATGAGTCCTGTGCTCAATGAGGACCAGAACTCCGGCGGCACTGAACTGACCGCCGCTGACGAAGAGCTTAAGGAACAACAGATAAAGATCTTGAATAAAATCAATGAACAAAAGACTATTGATAGGGAAGGGGTTATTAAAGGGTTGGATAAGAAATGTGTGGACATTATTGATGATAATCTGAAGCCACAGATCAATGAGAATGAAGTGAATGACTACGAGGAAGGGAAACAAAAACTGATTGTGTGTTTGCAGTGAATGTTTGGTTTGGTTTTTGAAATGGATTTTAATTTTATTTGGTTTTTGAATTCAAACTATAGTTTCCTATGTTTGCCATAAATATGTTGTGGAATAGGATTGCGATTATGTTTATACCTCCAAGTCTTAGAGCTAAACGTATTGTTTGCTAATAATTATTAATTTAAAACGTAATCCAATCCTAAATCCGTGAAATGATCTGAAAATATCTCTTCATATATTATATTAGATTAAAGTCAGAAATGCATTATACATATCAACACCACATACCAGTCCCACTCCTATCCTACCTTATTCTCATTGCTAATCACTCGAGTCTCTCGTTTATACCTCACATAATATGTGAACAATATTTCATAATTTTGAAGATTTTATCTCTTTTTTGTGGGAAACAAATGTTTTGAACAGAAAACCACTTTTTGTATTAATATATTTTGAATGTCTTTAAAGTTATACACAATTCAATTGAACATAAGTTTTTCTCGTTTTATAAAACATGGCATAATATAAAAGTTGTTAAAAACATGTGAGAAATACATTATTATAATTATTATTAATTTTAGTTCCGATTATCTATTGTTTGGTCACAAAATAATGTCTCAATTTTTAAACTTGTTTATAATTGTAAAGATTATTTGAGAGAATATTGTGTCGGCTTTTAATCAACAAATATTTTTTGTTAAGAATAGTTTGCAATTTATTTGCCTTTTCTTAAAACACACACTATTAGTAAAATCAGTTAATCTACTCTCAAGTGTTGGTATAAAACAATTTTTGGATAATTTTGAAGAATATTCTGTAATTGTATAATAAAATCAACGAATATATTGCCATTGAAGCACTGATTGTAATTTAAACACATTATACACTATTCAGTGAACACATGAGTCTTAATTAATTATTGTGTTCACTATAACAAATGCATGCATTATATTGTTATATGAAAAACATGTTGTTAGCCATACATTACATAACTTTCATATAACTTGTTATATAATATATGATTATTTTTTGATTAACTAATATTATTGTTTGTCTATGTTGTCAGTCCGTCATACCTAACCCTCAATCTACTATAACCTGGTCAATATATAAAAGTATATTTATACTGGTAATCAATCGAAAATGATATGTCCCATAAAAATTCATATGTTAAGTGTTATACTGTATATAGTTTTGTTGATTTCAATTATTAGTTTCAATTGTCATTGAAATAAGAAAACTTAAGTTATTGTTTGCAAATGATATATACATTTGAATAAAATTGTAAATAATTTATTATTATTATTATTATTATTATTATTATTTAAGAAACAAAATATTTGATTAAATAAATGAATTGAACAGAGATTTGTGGACATATGTTGTCTCAATTAATCTGTTTTTATATTTTATTCTCTAATTTGTTTGTATTTCATCTATAGGTCACAACAATTTGTTTATCAATTCCCTCTTGAAATCAAGAATTAGGAGGCTTTTAAACATTATGTTTGATCCGTGAACCAAAAGTAACATTTGCTTTGAAGCTTATGTGAGAAATAGGAGATAATAATTGCCTCTAAATATAGAATATTCTTACAAATTGCTGAATAGATTGTAAGCAATCATTGTTATAATACTACAGTAAGTATTATAGTATGGAATTGTGTTATAGTATTTCTTTTATACTTATTGTGATTTATATTAAATTCTTTGCAGAATTGGAATATAATATGAAAATTATTAGTGAAATGCTTTTATAATTTATATTTAGAATCTAAATGTTAGATGTATGAGAGGCTAAACGATACTGTATTGTAGTTATATTAGGAAATAACATACTTTTTGTTATATTAAATAAAGGAGAGTGTGTTTATAATTATATTTAATATAAGCCATTGAATGAAACTTTGAATTAATAATGAAATTCACTGTAATATTCATTTATCAGTCTCTCTCTCTCTCTCTCTCTCTCTCATTCTCTCATTTACTGAAAATGACTAAAAATTATTTTTGTTAACATTTTATACTTAAAGATTGTTTTTCTCTCGTTTTGTTCATCACTTATATAACACTTACATCTCATCCCACATCACATTCCAGTTGTTTATATGAATAGCGTTTAGAACACAAGTCTTTCCTTCAGTTTCCATCACTTCGTCGGTGCCTCACGTGTTGGGAGTTTGCAGTGTCTGACACCCCATATGGCCGGACATGTGTCGGCCCCTCATTCACAGTTATATCTCCCGGAATGTGAGGTCAACGCACCGGTCGGCGACCAAATACTATGCTATATATACCGCCACCAAATCAGTAGGTTCTCTCATGTCAGACATACATGAGATGATTATATTTTTATAGATATATAAGTTTGAATACAATTGAATAGTTTTGTGCGAATGTATGGCTAATTGAAATGAAAGTGATGTTTGTATTTGCATTGCAAGACATGCGAATGGTTGCCGTCATTGGGATGGTGTTGGCGTTCGTAGCGCTCCTATATGTGGCACATGTATGCATACAGTGGTGTCGATGCTATTGCACGATCTGTACGGCCACTCACCGACGGAACCCACACAACGACCCGCCCTTTGAGCTCAGATTCACTCATAACCTGAATAGAGGTATCGGTTATTACAGTATCAGTTATACTCATTAATTAGTCAATTGTATAGTATTATACAATCATTAATAAGTTTTGAGTTTTTAAGTATTAGTTAGTATTGATCATATTTTTGGCAATGAATTGTTTTAAACGAGTATTTAATTTCTAAGTACAGTATTGTACTGTAATTATATGCATGTCTGGGACATCCTATCTCTATGGATAAGATATGACAGGATTTGCTCTCAAAAACTTTTGGATCAAACATTTTGTTTTAAATTTCCTTTTAATTGTTTTCATCTAAATTGCATTTTAATAATTATATTTACAGAGAATAGACAACAGTCTCTACGACACCCGA